AAGCTGGAATGACTAGAACAAATTTCAAATAATTTAGTTTTGCATAATTAAAAGGTGGTAGAACTTCCATTGAAAACTTAGGAAGTTAGTGGAAAGGTTTAAGAAACATTTATCAGAGGGAAAAGGAAGCATTTATCAGCAAAAAGGCCATTTCCTTTCTTGATTTACCATTGTGGTGAGCCGCATGAGAAAGCCAAGTATTTGGTTTGCACATGAGAGTTTTGTATTAATCAGCAGCAATTAATAGACAAACTACATGTCCTCTATAGTATTTGACCTTTTTGGTGTTGTAAGTACTTAAAGCCTCGTTATGGGTCTTGGCTTTTGAACATACCTAGATCCAAAGTGGCTTCTGATATTGTTTTGTTTTAACAAAATCAAGTTTAATATTCTATTTCAGTTTTCTTTAGATATACAAGAGTTTACTGGTGTGAAACTGTATCACTGGTGTTCACTTAAAGATTCATTAATTAGTCCTTAATGCTGACTTGGCAACCAAAGCCCTTGTAATTAAGTGCTTGCGCCTCAGTAGTATCTTAACCTTTAAAATCATGTATTCGAGTACAATGCACAGGATTATTATAAGATAGACAGAACTGGATTTAATAATCATTTAAATTTCCGATTTTTTTTTTGTGGTGATGCTGGGGTGTTGAGTTACACCCTCAGATTCCAATGAGCACTGTAAATCAAGTCATTTCAAACAAAAGGCCATATTGTATTTCTGTCCTTATTGTCCAGTGTGCATCAGTAACTACTGCTAAGTCAATGCCAGAGCGAAGGAACAAGAAAGTGGGCAGCGGGCTGTGCTGATTACAATCACAGAGCCATCCATTAAGCAATTTGTGGGAAGAAGTGATTTTACATTTCTAAGACTGAGCACAGGAAATGATGCAGAGCCAGCATCATTTCATTCTAGACGCTGTTAGAGAAAAGCACGGCGTGTGCCTGCTGAGGCAGCACGCAACTCTGCAAAGGACTGCACAGTCACTCTGAAATGGCTTCACTTTCCTAAGCCTGGGTCGGTGATGCTGATGATAGCAGGAACTTATTTCACTTTTTAAAAATAATTGAAAAGTGTATTTTTACATGAGTTATTTATCTACTTTGCCTTAATGGAGGTAAATCTTGGGAATTATCTTTCTCATCTGCTACTTATGAATAAGATAGTAGAGGAATTACTTTTTCTCTTTCAGATATGAAGTTTTAAGAGGTTCAGACTCCATTTGATAAAGATATTTATAAGGGGGAAAAGAAACACATTTAATACTACAAACAGATCCCACTCTCCCAGCGGTGTTAAGCTAACTGTTCTGCATTCCACATTGGCTCAGTGTACACACCAGCAGGGTTATGGAGCTCCTCACTGTTTAAACCAAGTTGGATGGTTCGAGGGCATAGGCTTCCACCAGTGTTCCCTGTCACATGCTGAGAAAAGCACATCTGTAAATGCTGGCCTGCCTGGGCTCTGTGGCAGGCTTTGGGCTGTCTTTAATCTCATTTGACTTGTTCATCTTCTACTAAGGCCTCCGAAAGATGTACTGAGTCTCCCTTTCAGCTTTTGGTAGGATCTGCATCAGTAGTCATAAAACTGCTTTCACACAAAGACCTCTTTCCTTTGAAGTGCTTGCTCCAGCTTTTCAAAGTAGTCCTAGATGTCTGTCCTTTCTCTCTTTTCATTTTTCTTTAAGAAGTTTGAAGTGTAGCTTCTTAAACTACCAACAAGATAAATTTTTCTCCCAGCGTTACTGAAAGCCATGACGATTTTCACGCAGTAAGACTTTAAAGGGTTTAAGGGAATCTGTTGTGCTTCATGGTCTGGGCTTTGGTAGATCCCAGCTCCTGCTCTCTGAGAGAGCAAAGGTATAGACTGTCAGCATCCATTAACAATTGAAGGTTTTTATCAAAAGAATAGCCTGGTACTTTCCAGAAGACTTTCCTGCTCTTTGAGACTGGTGGTGCCTGAGCATCTGAAAGGAAATGCATGTGCACAATCATCTCATTTGTACTGACGATGCACCCCAGCCCCACAATACTGGTCTGAGCTGACACGTGGCCTGGAGGGGCAGCTCCAGAGCTGACTGGAGCTTTAACCACAGCCATTGGCTCTTGGCTTTCACTCTGAGGTACAAGGGGTCTTACCTTTCTTCTCTGTTCTATGATGTCACCTGGTTCCTCTACAACCTAGGAGAAGATGAATCCCATATTACTACAGAGAAATGACAGGCGTCACAAGCCCCACAGAGACCAGTGTTCTGCCTTGAATGATCCTCTCTGCCGTTAATTTCATTCCAAGTGATTCCCAAAATGTCTGTGGAGCCCAAGCAGTCTGTATTCTGTTTGGTTTAAATCCTGTATTATAGAACAATACCAGTAATAGTGAAATTTTAATATTTAAGGCTCTTTGTTTATTGGGACTTATGAAAGTCCAACAGCTTTTTATTTTGAACATACTTTTTGATAAGGAGAAAATAAATGTGCGTGCTCTATCTGTACTTCAGGTACGTGAGCTGGAAATGACTTTTCTTCCTATGTGTTGTAGATTTGGAGTCTGCAGCCTTAGTGTTTGTTTCTATACATAAGGCAGGTTGAGCACAGTTGGATTTTTGTTTTGTTGTTATTTCTTACCATAAATCCAGCTCCCTGAGACGCAACTGGCCATGATTTTACCCTTACGCTTTTAATTTGTTGTGTTACTTGAGCCTGTGTTCTCAGTCCTCCCCACCACCCCCTCCATATTTCCTGAACTGTCTAACCTGTTTCCTGGACTAGGAAACACTTTGCCAACAAAGCCCAGCACTAAACAGTCCTTTATTTAGAATCAGATCCCAAGAAAAGAAAGACCCTTTTCCATCCTGAAGTTGCTTTGTACATTCATCTGCTGATTTGTGTAAAGAAAAGTGATTTGGTATATTTTGCATTCATGATAGCTACTATTTTGTAAGCAGAACTAGTGAATTGTGTTTACAAAGGAGAACATTTACAACTTAACCCCCTTTCTGAGGTTTTCTACCTTCTGACTTCACAGTTCTAGATTACTCTCTGTTCATCTCTTCGATTAAAAAAGAAGAGAGTTAAGATCAATCTCCTCTCTCCCTCCACTGAGCTCCTGAGAAAATACTCCGAAGTCCAGCAAACAAAGCAAGGACTGGCCTGGCTTCCTGCTGGTGTCTGGCCCTCCTGGCTCATGTGGCCTCTGTTTATTCTGGTTTATATGTAAATTGCTCTCATTCTTCATTTACTTTTCTTCAGACCTTCACTTTCTACTGAAGAAAGATTATTCAAGTTAAAACACAAATCTCACCACCATTAAAATAATTTGTAATTTATGGATACAAAAACAGAACAGTTGCACTGAAAATGTATTCCTTAAATCATCCTGATCTTAATGGTTAATTTTAAGAAACAGTGCCAATAGATATATTCAAACAATAATTTCAAGAGTAACATTATAATGCAATTTTTGTGGAATTTTGAATATGGCAAGGGGTACGTATGAAGGGGACCATGAGTGAAAGATAACATATTAACTTTTTAAACATAGAATGTTTATTTCTAAATTAATAATTTTTAGTACAAAATTAAGTAGTTTAGATGAGCCTGTATCATTTGCCTCTTTGAAGGTTCTTTCACCAACTTTTTTTAGACTAAAGGAGGAAAAGTGGCTGTGACAGATTCCCTTTTAGTTTGGAAAATATCAAGTAGACATTCTAATAAGTTAGGTATGTTCCTCCTGTATGTTTTAAACTTGAAATTAGATGAAACCAGGTCCCTGGTTCGACTTTTCTTGGCCCATTAGTCTATTAGCCGAGGTCTCCCTTTCCTTCCCTAGGGATATGGACTAGTCTGGCAGCTGGGGCTAGAATATACCCCAGGTAACACACAAGTCCTTCCAGACTAAAATCTCACTCAGACTTACTGCTAGGCACCAAAGCCGTAAGAGACACCATGGTGACATAGCATTGTGTAAATACACATGGCATACCTATCATGTGACATGATAAGCCTTAAGTTACTGCTGGCCCCAGGGAAGGCATGTAAAGAAAGGAGTGGAGCCTTCTCTCTTGCCCTTTTTGGGGGCCATGTATCCCTGTGCCTTCAAAAAGCCTATTTCAAGCATGTGCACATACTTTGCCACAATGTTGGAAGAGCTCATTGACCCTCTCCCTGCAAACCCCTGCTTTAGAAGCTAGATTAGTGGTTTAACAGCAGTACTGGCCTCTATAGGTGCAGTGGTTTCTGACGGATTTTCCTGACTTATTAGGGATCTTTCCTCTGAGTGAATGATGGTTCTAAGGGCAGCCAGTGCCTGGGGTTACAGTGGCAGAGGATTCTTTTCTAAAGCTGCTCAGAGTGAGCTACTTTCTGGGGATATTTGCCCCCTTTAGATTATACAACATCAGTCCTCAACTCTGCCATGAAAACAGTTCACAACAGACAAGTTCAAAAACCACCAGCAGGACCCTGCTTGTTAGCTGTTTGCAAAGGCTTTGTCTTTACAAACTGAAAGTGTGGGGGTCGGGGAGAGAGGCAGTTAGTTTTAAATAGGGCCCTCTGGCTAAGTAGAGAATCCCATGTGTGTCCCTGTGGTACAAATTAAGTCACAACTGATCTTAGGAAGACTCCACACTTTTCTCATATAATAAGATTAGCCTCTCAAGTAGATAGATGATGCTAAAATTAGGGCCTTGGTTATAATGAACTCACAAAACCCATCATACAACTAGATTAAGGCAACAACTGAAAATGCTTGCCCATCCAATATCCTACACATCTCATGAGTTCCTAATCAGTGTAGAATGTAAGTTTTACCATCTTTAGCTTTGCGCTTTAATCTGTTGTTGCTGGATAATAAGGGGTCCTTAAATTCAGGAACATGCCACCTTAAAAATCAAACTGTAGCAAAGTGTGGACTCTTCCTAAGATCAAAATTGGCACCAAGTTATTTAGTATTTATACAGTGGAATTGATTTGTCTTTTTTTTTTTTTCTTTGCTAAAGGTGAAACTACCACTCCTCGGGCCATTCTCACAGGCCACGACTATGAGATCACCTGTGCTGCAGTCTGCGCCGAGCTGGGCCTAGTGTTAAGTGGTTCCCAAGGTAAAGTTGTGCTTTCTTCAAAGTGTTGGCTTCTCTTGTCATAGTAATGGTAAAAGAAATGAGGTTGGCTCCTGTTCTCCAAAGCGCCAGACTATTATGGTAGCCACACAAGGCTACTTAAATATGCCGTTAGTTAAAAGTCATTCCTTAAGAGCAATACGGACACTTGGAGAAAGAATATTCTCGTCAGGGCCAAAAGCCTGGTTTTAGCTCTCTGGTCTAAATCTAAGGATTCTAGATACTCTATAGATAGCAGCAGTTGGCATTCTAATCTCCACAAAGCAGGAACAAGGAACATCTTTATATGTTTGTTTATTTCTCTGACCTCCAGTAGTCTGAATGGAAATCCTGACCCTGACTTTATTGTATGTATGCCTGTAGTCATGTCATATCATGTGTGTAGAGGCAGATGACGGGTGAGAATTGGTTCTTTTCTTCCACAATATGTGGGTTCCAGGGATTAAAATCAAGCCATCAGATTCAGCAACAAATCCCTTTACCTGCTAAGCCCCTGAGTCTGCTTAACTTCCAGATTTCAGAACTAAGCAGGCCTAGAGTGACAGACACTGGAGTGGGCTGGATGCATCTGCTGCTAGCACTTGCCTGGGTTTGGAGATACTGAGTGCTCCTTCCAAGAGCAGGAAAAACAAACCAGGATCCAGCAGCAAAGAAGCTGTTTGCAGTTCAGTGCCTCTTCCTCCACCTACCAGTCTGCCCATCTCCTCTCTGTGCTGGAGACTGAGCACATGACTCCTATCACCTTACTGTCTCTCTGACTTGAACTATAATAGTACAGCTAACAGGCCAGAATGAATAAAGTTTTGCTTTGAGAAACGGAGTTGGTTAAAGCAGTGAAAAAGTAATGTGATTCTTTTGACTGTAGCTAACCCACATTAAACTTTAAAATTAGTTACTATTATAAACCATCCCTGCTTTGCACAGTAAAATGCCATGTAAACAGAAACCACACAAAATTATGTGAGACATTGTCTCAGTGGAAGGAACTTATTTCTATCATTTTTCCATGGTCTAAAAGTTTTTGTCAAAACATTAAAAATAGCCAGGCAAGGCACATACCTTTATTCTCAGCACCCAGGAGGCAGAGGCAAGGGGGAATCTCTGAGTTCAAAGCCAACATGGCCTACACAGTGATTATCTGGACAGCCAAAGCTGCATAGCAGGGCTAGATACCTTATCTCAAAAACAAACCCAGCCATGCAGTTTCATGTCTGAGAGTCAGTTCTCAGGGACAGGTGAGCACGAGTACCACTGTCTTGTCCTAATGCCTAACCATCTCTTCTGTGCCTTGGGAGACTAGCAGTCCTCTTCTGTTGGAGCTTTTCACTTCTTTTTGTTTAAATGTCATGACATACCCTCTAGGGTTCCCTAATGTGGAGCTTTTTGTTAGTTTCATGTCTTCTGGACATCGTCATCTCTGTTACAACCACTTTCCTGAGTTATGCCAACAAGTTTCCTTTGTTCATCCCTGGCTGCACATCTCGTGTCTTGGCAGCATCCAGAGCGACTCTGCCCTCCCTACGCAAAACTCCATTTATAGTCACGTCTTTATTGAAGTTCATCATTGTTGACCAATATGCTTTTCTGGTTACCTTCTTTTATAAAATGCCACATGGGTTATCACTGTGGAAGGAGGAGGCAGCAAAGCCGCTGCTCGCTGTCTGCATGTGGCCTGCACAACAGATACTGGTTACTGCGGTGTGTGCCGTGAGCACTGTGACGTGGGGGCTTCTGACTGCTCGACTTCTATAAATGTGCGTGTCCATAGACTGAAGAGCTAGCCATGAAGTGCGCTTTACACAACTGCTCTGATAACTGAAATCTGAACTGTGTTGTGGTGCTAGTGTTATTTAGGAACTGAAGAACTTATGGATGCTGAAACTATGCAAAAACAAATGTGTGCCTTTGGTATTTATGTTAGAAAACACTGAAGACTTTTAACTCTTGGGTAGCCTAACAGAAGCTGAGAGTCATCCTTTCCAAAGGTAGGCTTCAGTAGCCAGGTGGGGGGCAAGCAATGACTGTGTGTGGCCAGGAGCAAGGCAGGGCACAGACCCACGTTTTCCCCGTCTCTCAACACTCACCACACAAGCTTTTGCTTCCTTTACTTTGCACATGATGAGTATACAGTAGAAACAGAAAAGCCCTGGGGTGTGTGTGTGTGTGTGTGTGTGTCTGTGTGTTGGGGCTGGTGTTCAGCAGTTACTGTCCTCAGGTTCTCAGCCTAGAGTGTCACTGGGGAGTTGAGAGTGGCAGAAGTCACTACTTGCTTTAGGGATATCAGGGAATAGCTCACTCAGTTTAATAATGGTAGAAGGAATCCAGTGTTTCAACCACAATGCCGTGCACAATGGGAGGGAAGCTGCCCTGGCTGGCGGCATCTTCACTGATGCAGTCTGCTCTGTCCCTGCTCTCTAGGAAGGGTACCCCTGTGCCACGCAGTGGCAGCATTTATACCCCAGCCTCCCTTGAAGTTGCTCTGGGATTGGAAATTGTCTTCCTCATGGAGTTCTTCTAGCTTCTCCCGACTCATGTCATAATGAATTGTATAAAGTAACTTCTGCCCCCGAGGAGGACTAAACATGAGGAACATGGCTTCTCACGCCTCCCAGTGGAAAGTGAGAGCCGGCAAACATAAGAACCAGAGTTTGCTAAGTAACTGACATGACAGCTTTCTGAGGGCTGTGAAGAACTGGACCGTGGCACTGCAGTGAATCAGTGAAGATTCACTGATACTGTGGATTGAACCCAGGCCTTAGATGCTTACCACTACTATGGAGCTGGGCTAGCCACCCTGTCTGTCTTTTTTTTTTTTTTTTTAAGATTTATTTATTTTATGTATATGAGTACACTGTAGCTGTCTTCAGACACACCAGAAGAGGGCATCAGATTTCATTACAGATGGTTGTGAGCCACCGTGTGGTCCTGGGATTTGAACTCAGGACCTCTGGAAGTGCAGTCAGTGCTCTTAACCACTGAGCCATCTCTCCAGCCCAGTCGGTTTTCATTACATAATTTTGCCTCTTGTTCTCTTCTCAGAAGGGCCATGTCTCATACATTCCATGAATGGAGACTTGTTAAGGACTTTGGAGGGTCCTGAAAATTGCCTGAAACCAAAACTCATCCAAGCATCGAGAGAGGGTCACTGTGTCATCTTCTATGAAAATGGCTGCTTCTGCACCTTCAGTGTGAACGGGAAGCTGCAGGCCACCGTGGAGACTGATGATCATATAAGGGTGAGTGCTGTGGGCTCCAGATTGTCCATCTTACTGGGAAGCTCTACTGGTAAAGAAGACAAGTTCACTGAAGAAACCTAATTTTGACCTGCCTGGGGCCTCTTTCCCATGCCAAAGGGACACCACTAGCTAACACTTGGAAGCTCAGGGCACCTTGCTAAAGCCTAGTGCTTTTACTGTGGCCATGTGCAGAGAGCACACCCACTAACTGATGTCCCATAGCTGATGCTATCCATGACATTTCCTCTAAGTGATACCTAACAGTAGACTCATCTCTAAGATTCACTGTACACCAATGCTGAACTAGAGTCTACTTAAAGCTGGTTTCTCTTTACATTGAGAAAGGTAGCACGGAGTCATTGTGTATTCTTGGGGTCAGCAGCTGATATCTGCACTGACCTGCTGGAGAGCAACACCAAAGCAAGCCATGTAAGAGACCTGGGTATCAAAATGACATGAGCTTCTGTCTGTAAGGAATGTTAAGCTAATGGGCAGCTCAGGTCTTGCTCTGCTTCTCCCGAAGCCCCCAAGGCGTGAGAGATTGAGGAAGAGAGCCAGACTGTTCTTTGGGGATCATTTCCAAGGTCCCCTTCTTCTCACCTTCAAGTTACTGTACATGATGTGGGCCTGGGAAAAGCTGGGGTGTCCCTGTCATTTTTAGAATGGGAATTGAAGAGCCAAGCATGGTAGCACACACCTTTAATCCCAGCACATGGGAAGTATAGGCAGATGGATCTCCATGGCTTCAAAGCCAGTTGGTCTACAAAGAGAGTTCCAAAGCAGCCAGTGCTACACAGAGAGGCCCTGTCTCAAAAAAAAATAAGTAAATAAATAAAATAAAATGGGAATGGAGGTGACGTGACCTATGCACAAGGAGGACATTTGAGTGGCAGCAGAGTCAGGCACTTCACAGGGTGGTGCAGACTACTCCTGCACAGTTAACTCATCATCATCACTACCACCGGGGGCTTCTATGGCAGCTCTCCCAAGGAAACCTCAGGGTCTGGATGTGAGCAACAGCAGTTGTGCACACAGGCAGCACTGGTCCAAAACCAAAGGCCCGGGTGCTCTGAGGTCCAGGTCCAGTGGACACTTCTCTCCTCTCACTTTCTGGTTGTCTGAGAGCTACCTGCACCTCAAATGGTCTGAACAGGCAAACTCACTTTGCTTTTATTTCTCCCTTATTTCCTGTAATCCGCCATTTAAGCCAAGTACACAACAGAGGCTTCTCTCCTCCTTTCTTTACAATCATAATGTTGATAATCTGTCACTCTGAACTGTGATTATATTGTTAGCTACACTAATAAATCTGTAAAATAATTTAAAGCTGTCCACTGACTAGAATAGTTTCTGTGGTGTTCCAGTTAGACCAGAGGTTCTAGGAAGGGCCTCGAGGCAGCAGCAGGGGGCTCTTGTGGCTTGTTTACACTCACAGGCCTCTCCCCTGTACCCTGAAGCCATCGTTTTCCCCCAGTGAAATTCCCCACTGGGTTTTAGGCCTAAACAATCCATTGCTTTCCCCAGCATGCCTGCACTTTATCATACTAACTTGTAAGTGGCAACCATGTGATTAAAGCGAGCTAGCCGTAAAGGAGCCCTCTCTGTCCCAGGCTCCAGAGGCTGACACTTTCCCAGCTAAGTGCATTAGGAGGCAGGCAAGGAAACAGCAGGCTGGAAACCCAAGACATACAGAAATAAAAAGAATTAGTCACCAGCCTAGACTGAAAATTCCATTTCTTTGAAATACCAGGCAGCCTGGCAACTTGTACACTAACCACAGTTCCCCACCTACCTTTTCCCCAATTCCGTATTGCTCACTGGCACATTGGTTAAAGGAAATCACACTGTACACCAGCTGCACACCATGCAGGGGTTGTAATGAATAGCTTAGACGTAAGCAGGCAGTCCCTTCAAAACAAGATTACAACATAAAGTCTAACCACCATTTCCCTCAAGAGAACTTTTCTTTTTCCCCCCGGCTGTTTCAGGATATGAGCATCCCCAGAGACTGCTGTGACCTGCCAGCATCCTCAGGCACCAGTGCAGCTGCAGTACCTCCAAATGCTTGGGATCCAGAGCTGAGTTAAAGCATCTCTGGGGTCACCTTAGATCCCTAGCACAGTAGACCTGGATGCTGAAGAGAGGGTTAGAGTAAGAGCCAGTGACAGACTGCACTGGAGGGAGGGGCCCAGTTCAGCAGACACTTGACTGGTTCACATGCCAAAGGAAGGTAGTGGATCCCCTGTAAGAGAAGCTAGGGAATGATTTTTTTACCTTGGGAGGCACCAGAGTCATGCAGTATTCTAAAGGTGGCACACATCTTAAGAGTCTCCATTTCACTTCATTCAAGAACACCAGCAGGATTAGAGATTCTTACTAGAACAAAGAATTGAAGACTGCTGGTTTCAATATAGCACTCACCCAGAAGAAAGCCTCAAGTAAGAAGTTAGGGGAGTCTCATCAGCTGTGTTTTATAGGTGTGTAAAGTAGCTGCTGTTCTGTTCTTCAGTGCAGTTCCCAGACCCTAAGACTGCTGTTTGTGGAATGAATGTGGAAGGACTTTTATTCACAATGGAAATACTTCTTAAAAAAAGATTTATTTATTTTATTTATATGAGTACATTGTAGCTGTCTACAGACACACCAGGAGAGGGCACCATGTTAGCCACCATGTGGTTGCTGGGAATTGAACTCAGGACCTTTGGAAGAGCAGTCAGTGCTCCTAACAGCTGAGCCATCTCTCCAGCCCACAATGGAAACTCTTAATAGTGTGTATGTAGTAATGAGACTTAGTGACATGTAAGATGCAATGAAGCTATCTTTCTTTCTTTTAGATGTATTGCCATGTTCTTGAGAATAAGCTGTGTCCAGTGGATTGCTGACAGTTGGCATCAGTGTGAACTGAATGGATAGCAAACAGTCCTTTCTTTTCTCTAATTAAAAAAAAAATCAAAGAATAAAGATAAAAGGCAGTGATACTAAAGTTGTGATGCAAAACCAGGGCATTTTATTCTTCAGGGGTCAGCAGTCTGTGCCCGCACCCACCGTGGTCAGGTAGGCAGGCAGATGGCACCTGCCAGGGCTGCTAGAACCTTATTCCCCCAGCTGCTGGTAGGAGAGTAGAAGCTGAGGAAGCAAAGATCAGCTGGCAGTGGGCGGGGCAGGCTGTGGCTCAGTGACAGTGGGCGGGGCAGGCTGTGGCTGTGGTAGTAGAGGAGCCTTCGGTCAGGGGAAAAGACACCTACCTGTTCTAGGCTTTGAGGACTCCATCTACCTTAACTACTGTGAAAGTGGCCATAGGCAGAGGGGTTTCCCGAGTCCTGACAAAGCCTTATTTTTAAGCCTTTATACTAAGAATCCATAATATTAATGAAACTGAAATTTTTTTCTCAACAATTAAAAAAAGAAATAATGAAGCTGGGGATGTAGGTCAACTGGTAACACACCTGCCAGTACGCCCATGGACCTGGGTGCTGGTGCTTGCTAGGCATCTCAGGGTATGGAGACAGGAGACTCACAAGTTCAAGGCCACCCTGTGTTCTATGAGACCACATTTCCAAAAAATTGTCACATAATAAATAAGGAGTCTGCACTCTGCCCACAGGCTTTCTTAGGGAGTAAAGGAGAATTACCTAGTCAACAAGGTAAGAGACTGGCCACAGCCTGGAGCTGGCCATGAGGCAGGCTACAATACAGCAGCTTGGGGCCTGACATTCTGGGGAGCTATGCTTCATTGTCACCCCAACACTGCCTAGCAGCTGCCTGCTTGTCTTGGCCAGGTCAAGGGAGGCAGTGACATCACTCAATATGACAGTGCGCTGGTCCCACCCATAATGTGCTCTCTCAAAATCTGCAGAACTGAGTTTGTGGCACAAAACCCACAACACTGGTATTGTCCAATCTTGTCCATTTTCCTCTAGAACTGTCTTCCATAGCTCAGTGTCCTAAGAACTACGGATTTCTTCCACACTGCACCACATGCCATGCCCTACTCAGGCCCACTTCCCTAGAGCCATGTTGCCACTGACTGTTACTGTCTCACAGGCCATACAGCTGAGCCGAGATGGCCAGTACCTGCTCACAGGAGGAGACAACGGGGTGGTGATAGTGCGCCAGGTGTCGGACCTCAAGCAGCTCTTTGCCTACCCGGGCTGTGATGCTGGGATCCGGGCCATGGCCCTTTCTTTCGACCAGAGGTAAGTAACACCTGAACCCTCAACTACCACAGGGTCACTGAAGACTGGTGCGAATCACTTTAGTGACCTAGGGCTGGTGGAGTACTACAGTCACCTGCACAATCTCAAGAGCTAACATCTACTACACAAGCACACTGTACAAAGTACAACTTCCTGACATTCTTAGATAAAACTGGGCTCTCAAGAATAGACAGGACTCAAGCCACAAAGGCTCAGAAACTGCCATCAAGCTTGTTGCGCATTTGTGTGCGGTATGCTCACATGTATGTGTATTCACACATGCGTGCATGTATGTATATCCACACATGTATGTATATATATTCACACATGTATAGACAAAAAAACAAAGTCTGCTGGTTCACCTGGGCTAGCTCCTGGCTTGCTCTGGAACTCCCTCCCACCTCTGCCTCGTGAATGCTGACTGTAAGTACTGGGGTCTGGTCTCGGTCCTCACACATGCACTGCAGGCACTCTGCTCACCAAGCCATCTCTACAGCCTCATCTTTCTGTGTCTTCAACAAGACTTTTAAGGGCTGTAAATATGTGTACTGTAGAATACCTTTTATGTCTGCCTCTGGAGAGATCCGACTTAATATCCTAAAACATCCCAAGTTATAGACTTGGGGAGGATACTGCTTACTTAGCAACTTACACTTAAAATATTGTCATTTCTTTTTACTTCTGATTTTTATTATGGCAACATAGCTTAAAACTTCGCATCAGAACCACTTCCGATGGGTTTTATAGCCTAGAGTACATTGACCATGTTGAGCAGCCTCATGGTCCTGCTGTAGTCTACAGAACTCTCCACCATCCCAGAGTGCCCATTCACAGGTCCACCTCCCCCACCCTTACCCCACCCTGCTCACACCCGTCCTTCTCATCTCTGAATCTGCCTTTTCCAGGCGCCTCTAGTACACAGAAGCTTACAGGATCTTTTTATAGCTGGCTTGTGCCACTCAGCATGTTTTCACAGTCCCATGTTGTGATGTGTCAGAATCTTGCCCCCCCCCCTTAGGGGAGATTGACTGTCATATGCCTATTCTGTGTGTCTGCCCATCTATCTGTGGGCACCTTGGATTGTTTTTATCTGTTTGTGGTCTGCTGTGAACAGTGATGTACAAATCTCCTTTTCAGTTCCTTCTCACAGCCCCTCTGGGTCTGGACCTAGGAGTGGAATTGGAGGGCCATGTGGTAATTGTAGTATCTTGAAGAATTCCTGAACTGCCCTACAATTTTGCATTGTAGCAGGCAGTGCAGAACCCTGATTTCGCTCATGGTGTGAAGGGCTCTCTGGCTTCAGCAACCTCTGTGTTGTCTCTGTCATCTGTGGTCTTTAAATGTACAATTTTTATGAGGTACATTTTTTTTTTACGTTTTTCCTGGATTGTTCTTGGCCATTCAGCATTGAGGTTCACATAAATTTTCAAGTGTTTTTGCATTGTGAAATACTAAATTTGTCAGGGATCACAGCAATGTGCTGATCATTTGGGGACACTGATATTAACATATTATCTTCCAGTCCACTTATATGGGTGCTTCCATTTGTTTCTTCCAGCAGTGTTTCTGGTCAATATATAAGCTTTGTCTCCTTGCTCAAATATATTCCTAAGGTTTTTATTCTTAATGCTACTGCAAATGTTAATTGTTCTTAATTTCTCTTTTACATCGTTAGTGCATAAAACTGCTACAGGGCATCATGGTGTATACCTGTAATCCCAGCACTCTATAGCTTAGATTATGAGTTCAAGGCAGCCTGGGCTACACAGAGATCCTTCCTGTCTTTAAAAAATAAAAGCACTGATTTTTTTCTGAGTTTATTTTTAAGCACTAACAGTTTTGTGTGTAGTCTTTTGAATTTCTACATGTAAGACCATGTACCTTGTGACAGGTCGTTTTCTCTTTCCAATTTAAATGCACCACCCTCCTTGCTTAGTAGCTATGTTGGGATATCAAGCATTACATTGAATAAAAGCAGTAACGGCGGCCATCTTTACTTTGTTCTAATGATGTAAAAATTCATCTTCCACTACTTGGTAGGACTGTTAGCTATGGGGTTTTCATGAACACTCTTACTTGAAGGCATTTAATAGTAAATATATTGAATTTTGTCATTTGAGATATACGTGGGCTTTTTATCCTATTAATATCCTCTAGTGTATTTTATACCTTCAACTATACTTATATTCCAGAGGAAAACCTGTCATGATATTTACTCCTATAAGACACTAATGGATTCGGTTTGCTAGCAGTTGGGATCAGTATCCATTCAAGGAAATACTATTGGTCTGTAATGTTGCTTAGTGATTTTTGTTGCTAGGTTTTTTTTCTTTTTTGGCTTTGGTATCAGGAAACTGGTAAACACTGAAGTGTTTCTTCTACTCCATTCTTTGGAAGAATTTGAAAAAGTAGTAATTGCCTTTAATTTCTTGGTAGGATTACCACACTGTGTGGCCTACAGTACTTTACTGAGTTTATCTGTACACCTCATCTGAGGTGCTTAACTTACTGTGCAACTATCCTTATGTCTCATAATAGCATCCTTAGCTCAAGCTGTATCAGTTCTGCAGATCTTTTCAGCAGCCCTATTTTATATAAAATACCTGTTTCTATTTCCTATTTCTTAAAATGTTCCAGCTTTGGGTTCAGTTTACTCTTTTTCTATGTCATTAAAAGTCTGAAGTTAGGACATAAGACTGTTTTCTAGTGTATTTATGGCTACACCTTTCCTCTCCGCCCTTGCTGTAGCCGGTGTTGGTGTGGTTTCTGTTTGGTTTTAATGTTCATCCATGTGCATTTTCCAATTTTTACTTTGTTACTGACCACTAGTTCATTCTGTTATGATCTTAAAAGATACTTTGCATGATTTCACATTAAATCATCAAAACATACAAGCTTTACCCCAGAGATTATTCCACCTTGTCTTAGGGTTTTATTGGTATGAAAAGACGTCATGACTATGGTAACTCTTATAAAGGATAATATTTAAGCAGGTTTACAGTTCAGAGGTTTGGTCCATTATCATCATGGTGGGAAGAATGGCTGTAATGCCGGCAGATGATGTGCTGGAGAGAAGCTGAGAGTTCTACACCCGAGTCCACAGACAGCAGAGAGCATGAGCCACCAGGCCTGGGTTGAGTTTCTGAAACCTCAAAGCCGATCACCAGTAACACAACTTCCTACTAATGCCACTCCCTATGATCTTATAAGGGCCATTTTATTCAAACCAGCATACATGTGCACTAGCAAACCAAACGTGTATTTTGCTCTTATTGGCTTGGTGTTTGGTCTGTGTGGCTTGTATACTTTTTAGGATCCATTGTCTGGTTATTCTACATGTTTTCAAAGTAGGATTTTAAAGCTTCCAGCTGACTAGAGAACCATCTCTTTCTCCCTTCTGTGCAATTTGCTCCACGTCATCCTGGGCCTGCTTATTGTGTTGTGGTAACATTTAGTGTCGATGCCTCTTGGTACAGTGCTTCTGACTGAGGCCTCTGACGTGGGCCACTTAAGTTCTCTATTACTACTTGCCCAGAACTTTTTTGTTTGTTCAATCCACTTGTTTTTCTAAAATAAATATCCTGTACACTGCATGTACTTGGGTTATTTCTTTAATCCATTTGGCCAGGTTTAATCTCTTTTACATGTAAATGGCTGTGGGAGGAGTTGCTGTAAGAGTTTGATCTTCGATGCCTCTTCTGTACTGATGGATTCTAGTTTCTAGTTTCAATATGAAGTACAGGAAGGTACTCAGTGTAACTTCCTAAGAGCTGGCCCAAACCAAACTGTGCAGGGGAGGGGCTCAAGTAGCAGAGGTCCTCTTGGCTGTTGTCTGTCTGTCCCTGCACCATCTTCTCAGGACAGGAGAGCAAGCAGCTCCTGTCTCTACTGACCACTACATCAGGTCATTGTGTTACAAGGATCAGGGCCCTACTCAGAGTATAGGTTGCCCCAGAATACCAGGCAGTATTCATATCTCTCCCCCTCCCCCTCCTGTCCCTTGACTATGTGTGCTTCCTCCAGTGGCAACCACTTTGTGGATTTCTCTCTGATTCCTGCAAGCATTGTTTCCAGCAGGCCCCCCACTGTGGAAGTGAATCTGTTCAAAGTCCAGTGACAGGCTACATATTCTAGCAGTATCCATATTTTCACAGACCATGGTCTCTGTGCTGTCAAAGTCAATGTACTGAGCTTACTTGAGTCTACATTTCAGTCACCAAGAACAGTATACCACAGCTGTCACAGGCAGCAGAAAGTACTACATCCCAGTAACCAACCCTTGTCCATCTTCCTCTAGGTGCATCATTTCTGGCATGGCTTCGGGAAGCATTGTTCTGTTTTACAACGACTTTAACCGCTGGCATCATGAGTACCAAACCCGCTACTGATGGTGACAAATGCACTGTGGTCCTGTTTCAGGCCAAGCAAGGAGGGACTTTGAACATCATTCTATAGAAATAGCTATCACATCTGAATGTAACTTAAATTTGCTTGAACAAGCAAAATATTTTTTAAAGTTAATTGCTATTTTTGTAGACTTTGCTTGACATTTGGGGGTGGGGAACAGCAAAGCAGAAAACTGGCTGCTGGTTTCTGTAGTTTAAAAAAAATCTATATTTTTAGTCATAATGAAAAGTCTATTTTCACCAATTATGGATACAGACAGTGGAGCCAATAATCCCACTAATTCTTGCTATGTGTGAAAAAACATTTCCCACTTATCTGTAATCTTGAGAAATATGATTTTAGAAATAGGGAAATGGGTTCAAATACTGGGACGGGGGAATTTATTCTGTACTGGGTCCTGTATTTTTCTAGACAATTGTGCTCCTTCAGTGCTGACATTTCTAGGGTTTTAATAGTAACGTTTAAATTATGACATGTAATTTAAAACATCTCAGTGAATTATTTCTATATTCTTCTTTGAGCATGTGTTAGACCTGGAAATTATAGTTAGAGGAGGCTACTTTATGTTACTGTGTGTTAAACAACAAAGATCTAAGTATAGCAATCATAAATACTCACTGCTTTTCCTGATCTGTCGTCCTCATGGCAAAGGGTGAAATGATGGAAACGCTCTTGGGCTCACAATCTTTGTAAGTACCAAAGCCTGCCCAAGGTCACTAGTGCCCTACTAAGAGGCAGAGCCAGGTGGGGCTACTCCCCATGACGCTAGCCCACAGTCCTGGCTCGAGATCAGAGGTGACCAAGTACCGTGTAAGCAGCACCCACCTTACCCCTATTTGTTATGAAACTCTCTCTGCCTTCTTTTTGACTAGTAATTTGTACCAAGAAACAATGTTATTTTGGTGTCATATAATTCTACTTTTTCTAGTAGATTGCTGTATGGAATTCTGTGAAAATATTTGAGCAAAGGTCTGTATTACATAAATAAACTCTTTGTATGTTGTGAACTTGAGTGGAAACTGACATTGTCTTTGCCTCCTGTGCAGCTTGCCTGGACCTCTTTCCCCTGCACATGTAGATGCTCTCTAAAGCAAAGATCTAGAATGACAAATTCAGTCTGACCGAACAGAATGAAATGAAACTCATATGTAAGTTGTTGGAAATGTCGTTTTGACCCAAACATTTTCAAACATGGATAACCATTCACAAAGAAATGTCACACTCTGATGTTGCTCAGGTTTTGAGTGGTAACCAATGAAAGAGACTCCTGTGACAAAATATAAGAATGCTTTCTCCTGCTAAGCCTCCTTCTCTCTGTCTGAGACTTCCACCAATGACCAAACAAGGACCACTGAGACACTCCAGCATTTCACAAACCATCAGGAAAAATAATAATAGCAAAACAAAGGAGCAGGAAATGCACAAATTACTAGAGGTTAACAGGAGTGTTTCACTTTGGAAATAAAGGAAAATACAGCAGCAGAAAACAGCTGCATTATGTCACAGCAGGACACAGGCCGTCTGGGGCTGAAAGACAGTCTCCACCATTGTCTTTGTCTTTATAGCTCAAAGCAGAAGACTTCACAAAAGAAAAGCCATGCATACCCTACATGTATGCCTAGCCTGAACCAAGGACTTTCTTAGTGCAGACTCTGTTTAACACAGTATTTCTTTGATTTGATTCAATATTACTTATTTTACCCAAATTTAACTATTTTCATTAAAACAAACAAAACTCCCCACCATCACTTCAAATAAATGAAAACCAGTCAGTACAAGAGCAGTCAAGGATGCTGGGGATGAAGGTGACAAGCTCCAACGGGAGCCACAGCCACACTCAAAGCTGGTAGTCAGTGTTCTCCAGGGTGTTTAAGCCTAGCTTTAAGAGGGTCTTCCTTCCTTCCTTCCTTACCAGTTCTCACAGAGCAGGACTCTCACAGAGTATGGTTTTGTCAGTTAGGATAATAGGTCCCTGAGGAAGCAGGAGGGCTAAGAAGCAGAGAGCAAGAATATCTGACAGAATATCTGATGTGTGGGCAGCTCTCTCTGTATGACTATCCAGAACCCAGAACATGCCAAATACCGGAAAGTAAAAAGTTCTGTGGATAAATTCAAAAAAGGACCTACTTTGCCTACTGATGAAACTGCACTCTGCAGTTCTACGTAACAAGTCAGGAAGATGATCCAAGAGACAACCCCGCCCCCATGGGAACCAGGAGAGGCTTCTGTGAGATGAGGTAACTCTCAGCCCCTTTTCATTCAGTAGAGCGAAGTCAAGGCTAAAGGCGCTGACTACCTGAGCCTGCCACTACCCTCCTATGCTGTCAAGGACAGCAGCAGCCATGCAAGTCAGGTTTGTAAGAGATAGCCAAGCATCTCATATGCATGCAGACTCCACTCTCTTCAGCCAATGCAGTAGCATTAAAAGCAGTAGGCAGGGGAGGAGCTGGTGAGGTGGCTCAACAGGCAAGACTGCATATTGCTCTTCCTGTCATCCAGCTCAGAAAGCTATGAACTCCAGATCCAGTGGATCTGAGGACACCTGTACTCATGTACATACCTACCCACAGACTCACCTCATTAAAGACCAAGCCTTCAATAAATAAATGAGTAAATAAAGCTAGCAGGCCGCAGTTTAAACCAACACAGACAGGCTGCTGGGGGTGAGACTGGCACTGTGACTTTGCATGCACTCTTCCTGGATGTGATTTCAAGAGCTCCAGGTCACGCAGATCACAAGCAGTCTGGGAACTTGTACTGCATCAATCCTGCCTATGTGAAGAACACAGCGACCAGTGATGCCAAAGGAGATTCCAGCTTAATCAGGAAGCAAAAGGACCTTTCGTTCATGCAGACATGAGGACGCTCTCTGAGCCTGTGAGGCTTGCCAGCGCTAGTGAGTTACACTGTGGGGCAGCATCCTCACTACAGCCTTGGCCAGAAAATGTTCAAAGAAAGGTTCAAACCTCAATATGTATAAACTTCCAAATAACCAAGTACAACAGTGCTTCTAACAGATCATTTCAGCCCACCTTGGTGAGAGGAAACATTTCCTACTTTGATGAGGACAGTAAGCAGGCGAGATACTCTCTGCATAAAGTTAATCCTTGTGGCTTCACAAATTGTTGCAAGAAATATAGGAACTAAGAGGTTTCAGGAGACTTTTGAGTTTGAAGCCAGCCTTGCCAGCCTTGCCTGAACATAGTGAGACCTTGTTTCGGTGGTTAAACAAGGCATTCTTCTTGACTCTTTTAAAACATAAGATTATTATTTTAAAACTCATAGTTTGGGGGCTGGAGAGATGGCTCAGTGGTTAAGAGCACTGGCTGCTCAGAGGTCCTGAGTTCAATTCCCAGCAACCAACCACATGGCGGCTCACAACTATCTACAGGTGGATCTGATGCCCTCTTCAGGCAGGTGGGTGTATATGTAGCTAGCCCTGCATGGTGACGTTCACCTTTGATCCCAGTACTCAGGAGGCAGAGGCAGGCAGGATCTCCAAGTTCAAGATCTACAAAGAGTTTCAGGGCAGACAGAGCTACACAGAGAACATTTCAGAACGTTTTTCCTTGCCAAAACTAAGTGTCTGGGGAGTTGGACTGGGCTGAGATTTGATCATACCTACAGCTGCTCAACAGCTTTGGACTTGGATCCCTTGAAAACTGAAGCTCAGTCCTCCGCACTGACAGGGGTGGCAAGCTTGCCAATTGCCCCATGGAGTGATCACGGAGATGAAGACATCAGGACCCTGTCCCACAGGAGGCCTATAGAGCAGCAAAGGCCCAGCTCCACTGCCATTAAAGGGCTCCCTTAAGATATGGCAGAGGTAAGTGGTACTATATACACTTGCTTTTCTTTCCCTTAGATATGCAACACTCAAATAAGGTTGAAAAACGTAGTTCACTATGTATCCATGTGATGATCAACCAATGCCTAGGCATTTTCAGGAGTCCGAGTCCTTCAGAAAGTGGGTGACCCTGCTACAGGCCCACAATTAGCATCTGTATCTCTGGAATCCGACTCCCTTTAGTTCCTACCATCTACTGCAGGCTCACATCCCAGGTAAAAATCAGGTCTGCCGCCTGCACAGAACATCCATCACCAGGACATCAGTGTGCCCAGAGTTCAGTACATCAGGGCTTTGTTTTGTTTTTCTTACGATCTTTGTGTGCCAGAGCTTCAAAGCCTTCATGACTCCACTGTCTTCTCAAGTTTCCACAACAGAGCCACTCTGGTAGGAAGGGGTGCCCGGGCCCTGCACCCACTCCTGAGGTGGTGTGAAGACGACTGTGTCAGCAGTGATTCGCCCCTGATGAATGGTGATGGGCACTTCCTTGCCTGGCACTTCGGCTTGACTACTCTCACAGAGTTAGGAGCACACATTTTAATTTCACACCGCAGGCTCAGATCAGAGCTTTGACCCGCTATCAATTCCCATGAACCTGTTTCGCGCTCAATATGACGGACCTTCTCTCTACCTGTCACACACATCATATCATGAGAAATAGAAAACAGATTTGCCTAGAACTAATGTGAGAGCCGTCATTTATCTGTGAAGCTAGACTGTAGCGTGGCAGCTGCTGGGCCCATATGACTTTTAAACACTTGAAATGTTCTGAGTCCAGATTGGGAGGTACTGTCAAGGTAAACATACTCCAGATTTCCAACTCAACACATGAGAAAGTAAAATATCACCCAGGTTTTTTTTTTTTCTTTTTTTTGATGTTGGTTACGTGATGAAATAACACTTTGGATATATTTAGATGTTAGGTTAAATAAAATATGCCACAAGATGTACTTTACCTGTTCCATTTAAATTTTTTAATGTGGTACTGAGATGTTGTTAATACAAGTGGTATGTACTGATAATTGCCATGGGATGATAAGCTGCTCTAGAATTTTCTGCAAGACACTAATCAACACTTTTCTCTCAATATGGTTACTCTGTCCCATACTGTCCTGTCTCCTAAGTCACATATTACCATCTTAGCCATGATGAAATTCTGAGAGTCTTGTCAAACGCATGTGGTGAACACATGTCACACGCTTCTATGCCCACCACCTTTTGCAAAGGGAGGCAGAGATAGAGGATCCAGCAAGAGATCCCACCTCAGCTGTGGAGGACATCAGGCGCCTACCTGATTTCTCTGCCACCATTCCAAGTTTAACCTCTCTCCACACCGATCCATCCTCAGGAGGAGAAGGAGTCTGAATGAGCACGTGCCATTCTTTCAACTGGATCTAAGCAGCCAAAACTGAAATACCTGTATTTAATCTGGATTGTGAGAACAGAATCACAGCTTCTAAGTGTTTGCACAGCAAACCAGACAGAGGAACTGTATGTCTCAAACCTTTACACAGGATCACCTTCCTAGGCCTCGCTGCCTGGATGAACACCAGCCAGGCAGTGGGGCCCAGACGCAGCTCCTGGGTCTCTAGCTGCCACTGCTTCCTGGCTTTCCTTTACCTTGTGTTCTTCTCAAGGTTTCTGAGGGATCCTGCCCAACAGCAAAGGATGGAGGCAGAGCAGCTGTGTGGGCTTCACTGCCTCTGTCAGCCTCCCATGGGGATAAACAGAAAATCACATGCTGAACAAGGACTCTTCCCTGGCATGGACGGCTACTGCCCTGGTCACACACTTAGTTTTTACCTCACACTGGGAGCACCACAGGTGAAGAGAGGGAGGCAGCTGCAGTGGTCAACAGCAGACACCCTGCCCCCACCTCCTGCTCTCTTCCCCCTGTGACAGTGGAGCACCCACAGAGACTGAAAAGTCTCCGTCTTGGCACTAGAGCGATGGCTCAGAGGTGAAAAGCACTTACTGCTCTTCCAGAGGACAGTCTGGTTCTCAGCACCCAGGACTGACAGTGCACAGCTCCAGCTTCCTTTTCTGCCTCTTCTGGACTCCATGAACAGCCACACAGATACCCATACACATAATTAAGAATAAATCTTTCTTTTAAAAGATTTTTCAAGCAGAAAGAAGCCTTACAGGGAAATAACACACGAGCCACAGAAAAGCAGGACCTCATTGGGGACAGGCTGGACAGAGCTGTTCAGCCACGCTCTTTCCTTTCTATTGCTGTTCCTGAGCTCACACTCTGAAAAGCCTGCTTATTTTGATGCTCTGGTCACAAAGTCTGGCACCTGTGTTCACGTACACTCCAGCCAAGGCATGGATCTATGTGCTCTTCCACTGAGGGTCTGGGCCAAGGACAGGTGCTCCGATCACATGCACTTTCCATAAGAACCACACAGAAACTCCACCCATCCCATGGCTTTTCTGAAGAGGGAAGAGTTTATTGCAGGTTCAGGATACCTGGAGAAGGCAAAAATCTAACAGTGAGAGTGAACTGTGGGGCCCACCCATTTCAAAGACAAGCAAGTAAAACAAATACAGTTATATATACAATTATTAAAAAGAGTGGGGTGGTGGAAAATAGGAAAAACTGCCAGCAGCCTTCCAGAAGGTTGATCACAGGACATTCAAGGAGCACCATGCGCCCCAGTCCCCGCTGGGTCTCAGCAGACCTGCCATGGCTTTCTGCCTGCTCTTGACAAAGAGCAGAGGAGAACCTGGTGATGACACAGCAGAGCTGACCCTGCTCTGCCAAGAGCTGCTGCACATTCCACTGAAAACCCCGCAGGCCAACTTCATAAGCATTTCCTAAAACACACATAGGGAAAGTTAGGGGAAACTGAGGGAGGGCATGTCTGCTAGGTCTGTGAGCCCTGCACCCCAGCCGGAGGGGAGCTGCTTCCTGGGGCATCAAGAATGCACTTCCCAAAGTCAGACATCCCAGAGGCAGATGACCCTTTCAAGTACTCACTTCTATTCAGAAGCCAGGTGCCTCAAGCCCCCTAAAAGAAGAGGAAGAGGCCATGTTGCCTCTCACAGAACAAATGAACCATAGCTGTGTCCTGAGAAGGGAGCACGTGGAGTGTCCTTCAATAGGGAGAATTCTAATTCATCCAATGCATTTCTATAAAAATGATGGAATTCCAGATAAAAGTTGCACATTCTCTGGGGAAAGCGGCCAAGTGTCTACTGAACTAAAAACACAGATGATTTAAAAAGAGTCACTCCAAATATGTCTCCACAACTGGCATGGCTTGCTTGACATGGCCAGGAACTCGAGAGGGCAGAACCCAAAGTGCATGAGGCCATGCTGCACACTGGCTCCAGGATGCCCAGTTCTGTTCTCAGGCAGTGACAGAACATGCCAACAAACTGTCAAAGCAGCAGCCAGGAGAGAAAGGCTCTTTCAGCGAGGAGTTGATGAGGCCTGGTGAAGAGCGGCCTTCCTGGCACGGTGAGCGGCTTTGGCCTGTGTACACAGAGTTCAGTCTCGGTGGCGGCGCCAGGTCCCTGCCAGATCACAGCCAGAGGTGGCTGGAGGACAAGGGGGCCCTGGAGACTCCAGTGGGGGAGGGGCCTCCTGGGCTGAGGGAGGGACTGGCGAGGTCTGTTCCCTGGATGTTTTGCTGCTATCTTGACAGTGCTTGCTGCAGAAAATCTGCCCCTCTTTATCTAGAGCCGTGTTCTGGGGAGAGAGAAGCAGAGATAACACATCACCCAAGCCTGACTCCATCGCACTACCAGGATCAGGAAGCAAGACACAGCATGCACAGGGCACAGAAACAGAAGAGGAGAAATATGCCAGGCTTCGAGTAGAAGCCTGGGGGGGGGGGCAGAGCCCCCACCAGCACCCGTCCCAGCAGCCACCCTTTGCCTCTGCTGGTAGCTGGGGGGAGTGGTGGGACACACCGCTCTAGAACCACGCCAGCTGGCCTATACAAGGTGGCTTGAGAAATTCTCCACTGTAAGCTGCACCTGAATTCTGAGTGTCCTGCTTATACCCATACCTAGGAGTGCTGGGGCAATCACCAGTCTCTGCCAGCTGCACTATCTTAGCTAGTATGCTTATCTAAAGAAAGTTACTATCACAGGGATACAGTACTCATGTGTCATAAATAAAGAATGCCATTACATCCATAGGGCATATATGGTATGACCAGGAATCCACTGGGGTAGCAGCAGCCACATGGTGTCCTTACCTGCCCCTCTCCCTATGAGGGACATCTGCATTCTGCTGTCTTCCTGGTCTTACTCATCTGCTCACCTTCTCAAGGGTATGGAGGCTGGAGGATACCCTTGCCTTCTGACCCATCTCGGGGATACCCAGGCATGGAGTCTTCTTTGTATCACTGGGGCTTGTGTGCCCTAGGAGCCAGCAACTGCCGTTTTACTGGGTTCACTACAAACGGGGGGACTTCAGGTTTCGGTTACCACTTCAGCTATGTGATAAAGGACCAGTAGGCACTCTGCAGTCTAACTCCCATAGGCCGTACCATAGATATTTCCAGTACGGATTAACAAATAAGCAGATGGAGAAGACAGTCTTCTCAAGGCTGGTGGCCTCCAGGCTGTGCTCCCCATAGCCTGGCAGTCTAAAGCTTAGCACTCGTAACCTTCCGAGGACAGTGTCAGTTAATGGGGTGAGTGGGAAAAGCATGGTCTGAAACTTAGCTCTGGAGCTGCTGGTATCAGTCCAGACCACTCCACCCTAGCAACCACAAGAGATATAGCAAACACTTATTCCTTCACGGACTTTCCCGGGTAGAAGAAAACCACACAGCCCTGACTATTTCCCCTCTTCTCTTCTGGCCAAGAGAACATGAGCATGCGTGGCAGAGGGAAGCTCGCGGTGCAGTTAGTACATACCATGGCCTTGGACCTAGTCAGGGGAAGCAATGCAGCAGCGGGAGAGGCAGGAGGGGAGAGAAGCAGGGACAGAAACTAGACTTACTTTCAACAGAAGCGACACAATTAACAGTCTTGTCTGTCTTAAATAAGGAAATAACCCCAAGCCCCACCCCCATGCCACCAAAGTAAGCAAAGAGCTTCTGGGTGGGAAAAAAAAATGTATCCTTTGACTAATGTTTCTCCCTCTGCAAGACCATGGAAGGAGGTGTCTTGTCATTCCCTTTTCTGCCACAAGAGGGCCCCTTCTAGTCTGAGGCTTTTCTCCCCCCCCACTCCACCCCTTTTTTTGTCCCTCACTGGGACAAAGAAGCCACCTCCCAAATCCACTGTCCTTCATCACCACACTGAGCACTGTCAGGGAGAGCACTCTTTCTGATATGGTCGTGTTCTTCCCCTGGAGGCTGGCTGATAAACATGCTGCAGCTCTGGACAAAGCACTAAAACCTCATGAAGATACTCATCCCTTGCCATCATTTGTAGAAAGATGCCCTTCACCTATGTAAACAGGAGCAGGCCACAGAACTGCTGGCTCTGCTCCTGAGCAGGAAACCAGGCTTGACAAGCTAAGTCTAGCACAAAGCTCCCCAAAGGCGTGCTGGGCTGGGCTGGCCAGGAGGTCAGTGGGTTCACAGGACCCGTACCAGCAGGAAGCTGAGGGCCCAGAGTCTGAGACAAGCATGCAGCTGGAAGAGGGGCTGAAAGTGAGGTGTAGCTCTCATGAGCAGTGTGTTGAATACCGGGATCTGCTTCACGATTTCTCATAGTCTCAACTGGGGAAAGAACGAAACTCTGAAGTGTCTCTCAAACTGTCAAATCAAACTGTCAAATGAAATGCAGACAACAGTGTCACTTGGGTGTCTTTCCCCTTTCTGAGTCAGCCCTACCCTAGCACACTATTCATGGAGCATCAGATACCTGCTTTAGGGACATGCTGAGGTGACAGGAGACAGGAAGGACCACATCTTTAAATTATGCACAGAGATCATTAACCATTCAGCTACAAAACATATCTTACTCTTCTGCTACTGACACCATATATTCAATAATGACAAACTCATGCCAGAGATAGGCATTGTATAGTTATTTTATATATAAAAACAATTTCAAAAACTGATCTCAGTTGTACAATCATGATACATATGACACAGGACCCAGAAGTGTGTCACAAGTTTTCCCCAGCAGCCACACATAGGCCCAGCCCTGAGTTGGGGAAGGACAAGCAAGAAGCCTTCTGCTACTTTTGGGACCACGTCAAAATTTGGCAGACTGGCTTTTGAACCACTGAGAACTGAGACTGCTAGAAACAAGTCTCAGGGATATCTCCAGTGGATTCTGAATGCAGTTCCCAGTGCTCACAATCTGGAGGCTTAGGCAGAGAATGTGGTTAGCTGGATGTCACCAACATGTGCCAAATAGCTCCTGCATATACATCAACACACAATTTTTATACAGTCACCTTCTTAAAGTTTGTTCAGTCTCGGGAACACCCTGTTAAAACTCAAGAGTTTGACATCTGACTAACTCCATTAGCAAGGGGGAAACCACTATTTGTAAGTGGTGAGAGGTTCTCTGTGTTATTATCCACAGTGCAGCTTACACAGCTTACACCTGGCCCAAGAGATGACTGTCAATCATTCCAGACCCTCAGCTGAGCTTCAGTGGTCAGGAGGCAGAGAACAGGCCTAGTGGCCATTAATTCCAGCGACCCACTGGATACATTCTCATAGTGCAGGGCACAGGGCTGCAAAACTAACAAGTCTTGGAAGATTAGAAAGCTAATTAATATATGATATAAAATTCTGACTCTATCAACTTCTCTTAAAGACTGTACTAGATGCTGAATATATACTTTAGGAGGTTATTGGGGGCACACACACAGCCGCTGAACACAAATGCTGACTCTTAATGGTTTTCTCTTGCACTTCCACAGAAGCTGCCTACAACACCATGCACGGTGCAGATGCACCCAGCTTCTGTTCAAGGGCTGGGTCTCAAAAAACGAATCCCTGAGAAGTCCTCCTGCTGTGGACTCCAGAGTGATGGAAGCTACAACTCCAGCCTTCCTGTGTTCTTCAAAGAGCACCCCTAAGTCTTAAAAGGCAGCACAAAGCCCAGTTTGTGGACTCAAGCTGAGTAGGGAGGAAATGCACACAGATCCCAGCAGGGAGCACAGTGGGAGGGAGCCTACCCAATGAACTAAGAGCCCTGGAAGAAGGGAATATGTCACCATGTCACTGATAGCAGGGACCAGGAATGCTGCAGGTGCCTAACCAATAGCAGAATAGTTGTGTCCATAAGGGGTGTGTGCACTCTGTGGCTTCCTGGGCTCCCCCTTTTTCCAGACATCCTGAGACTACACTGTGCAGTGAGAGTTTCCAGTAGTGTAGGGAGGAATACTGAGAACCTTTCCTACACGGCAAGAAGATGCTCTAGAAGCAAATGACAGAGCTTCAGGGACAGGCTATCTCAGGAACCTGGCGCTGGAGAGAGTTCCCGATATCCACCCCTGGCCCTGTGTGTCTGCGGTCTGCTGTGGGTGGGCAGGAGGACAGAGACACTGCTGTTGGAGACCTTGGCTGGCCAGCAGGTAGGGGATGCTCAGAGCGACTCCCAGACATCAGAGAGCTCACTTGGGTTATTTTTCTGTCCTGTACTTTCTTTTGACTCTCCTTAATGTTGCTTTTCATTTTTTTGTGTGTGTTTAAATATTTAGATTCATAGCCTTAAGGATTTTGGAAGAAGTACAAAACTAGGATCACTGTTACTTTTAAAGTAAAACTCTAACCATGAAAACGTGATGTAAAAAAAAATACTAATATGGGTTTAAAAACACACAAACTACTTTTTTGTTTTAAACCAAACAGTCTTTAGAAAGTGAAGTTTGTTAACTTGGCTGTTTTATATCCCAAGTCTGTAAGAAATCACACCTCAGTTAAGAGGCTGGGCCCTGCTTCCTTACACCGCCCATGCTGTGGACTGCACTCTCTCTCTGGATGTAGCAGCAGCTATGAGAGGTGAGGTAAGCTCCAGCCTGAGCTCCCTGGCACTTGCCTATCACTGTGGTTCTGTGTCTCCTCCCAGCCCCTAGCTGCCATGCAGAATCTAGGGAACAGGGCCAAAAGCACCCTTCACATGCCAGGCAATCCTCCATGGAAACATGGAAGACACCAGCTTCCATGGGCAGAACACTGGCTATCTGGTTTAGAAGATAGCTCCAGCTCAGCAGGCAGGCCAGAAGCCCCCAGCTCTGCCAGCCAGAGCTTAGCATCCCACTTACCATGATAACGGAGACCCCAGTGGTGGTGCTGTTCTGTTTGGGGAGCGCGTTATTAAAGTGCTGTTTTAGTTTACCTGTAACCTCGGCTTGCATATTATTCTCCTGGGATGCATCATCCTACAGAAAAGAACCAAACACAGTGACTCTGGGTCCTCAGCTTCAGCTGCTCACTGTTACCCCCACCACCAACCGAATGACGTCATCCTATACAGGCTCATCTTAGCCAGAAGAACAGAGGTTCAATTCTTTCAAAAATAATTGCTGCCGCTGTATAGCGCCATGAAAGAACACTGAACTGGCATGCATGAGACCCTATATTCCATCCTCGGCATGGCAGAAACACAGAATTCTACAGCACCACGCCTCAAGCCTTCAGGCAGACACTCCTCTGGATGGCACTGGGTAGGGTTCTCAGGCCCTCTCCCAAGGCAAACACAATACAAGTCATCCCATGGAAAGATAAAAACTGAGAGTTTATCATTTTCATGAAGAATTTGTGTGTGCTGTGCCACCTTGCTATAGCTCTGATTACACAGCAGGCTGAGGAGAGAACATGGCGTAAGCCTAATGTTTGACCCCATTTCTTAAGTTAAAACAAAACTGGCAGGAGAACACGCTGTATGCTGAAGGCTCAAGCTCCATCCCCAGGACATCAGTCATTCAGCTGATAGTCCTTACTGCTCACAAAGAGATGTGGTGTCTCCTCGACCTGTGCCTCAGCCCAGGGAAGCAGTCTGATGAGTGGAGGGGGTACAGTGGCACAGCCCTGTGGCTAATGAACTCAGGGTTCAGGACTTGCCTTCTAGTTCACCTTTTGCCCAGGGGAAACATGTGGTCAGTACCACATCCTCTCTGCTACCTCCTTCCAGTCCACAGGACTGCATGCCATGTAGACACAGAGGTCACAGTCTGAAACACATTCATCTCTGAGGAAAACACAAACCCCCAAACTAGAACAAAGTCATGGAATGGGTTCTTAAAGAACATCATAGCCAACCCCCATTTCATAAATGAGTAAACTGAGGTCCAGCAAGGGACACACTATCTACAAAGCAGGTGGGGACTCCAGTATCATCTTCTCCCATGATACTTGATCAATAGGACAGACATTCTACCTGCCATAGAGTTTGAATGTACAACTGTGCCTGTGCAAAACACATAGCAAGAAAGCATGCTGCTGACCACACAACATAAACTCCTTCATTCCCTGGGAATGTGGGTACTTACTGACACCCAGGGGTGACTCAGAATTTCTCCTGCAGTACAGCGAGCTTCAACGTTTACCTGAAGCATTTGACTGATTAACTCCTATAAAGGGGAGAAAGGGGAGGGAAGGGGGAGGGAAGACCACAGAGGAGGAGAAAGAGGGTGATTCCAGCATAAATACAGAAATCAAAAGCCAACACAGCAGCTCAGCCACTGGGGCATGATGCCAACCACCCACACGTTCAGGGCTTGTGAAACAGGCAGATCACTGCCTGTGTCAGCACAGTGCCTGGGACAGCAGCATCTCCTTCCAGTGAGTGCGATCCTAGACTGTGTCTCCTAAGACTTTTGGATCTCTGACCTCACTCCACAGGATACTGCGGAATTTTCCACTTTCATCACATATGTCTACAGCACTTAGAACAGCAGTGGAGGGACAGAATTGTAGTCCAGGTTTCGAAGTCTAGTTAGGGACTCCAGAGACTACACTATAGGACATTATATAAACTTACAGAAAGGTCACATATTAGAAGTCAAACCTCAGGAGCCCCAAGCTGTGGGCTGCTACAGCCCCACATGCAAGGACCCTCCAGTGTACACAGGAAGATCCCTCCACAGTACCTTGGCAGAGTCTGTAATGTTGTCCCAGTAGGGGGCTGGAAACTCCAGCTTTCCAGCCAAGATCTGGTCAAAGAGATCTTCCTGGAGATTGTTCTCACTAGTGACAAAGAAACGGAAGAATAGAGTCAAATGAGTGTCTGAGCGACAGAAAGGCGTAGAGGTTCTTTGGATTGGGCATGTCAGTGCTCAGTTGTGTATCATAGCTACATGGTGACAACAGAATTTTCCTTCTGGACAATGAGCCTAAGGACATTTCTTAGGCCTGGGAACCAAAGGCACAGACAATGATGCAGAGAGAGCTCCAGGAGTGGATGGTATGAAAGGCTGTGTACTTAATGCCTCAGAAAACAAGCTTGGTTAAAATGAAAGTGAGGTGTTGTGGCATGTTCCTCCAGAACTAGATACCTGGAGAGCTAAGGCAAGGTCAGCACTGGAGCCTAAGACCAACCAAGGCAAAATACAGCCAGAACCCAAGAAAAAAAGGAAAAGAATAATACACACACACACAGACACACACACAAACACACACACAAACACATACACACATATACAAGCATGCATACACACATACATATGCATGTATATATATAATGTATACATATATATACACATGTATATGTATGTGTATATATACATATATATAATAAACATATTTAGCTCTATATAAATATGTCTATATTTATATCACAAGCAAATATAGAAATTACAAATAGTGGAACCCTCAGGGGGAGGTTGGCAGTTTCACCAGGACTCATGCCTAAGTGTAGAACAGCAGCATCTATGCAACCTTTATTTTTTCCTTCATAGGAAGGTCTCTACAAAACTTTCCACTTTTTCACTGCAAAGCATAGATTTCAGAACCTAAATCTATACAAAGCATGACATAATTTGCTCCCCACCACAACTCAACTTTCCTTTGTGCTCAGTCTCAGAAAGCAAATACTTCCACTGACGCCAGCTAGGTTTGCTCAGTCAAGGAAAGCGTCCTGGATGCTCTCAAGTGGGCGTCTCCCAACCTGAGCTGCTTAGCCCTTCCCCAAACACACATATGGGGTCTAATGGATCCACAGCTCTTGACATTTGGTTGAACTGTGAAAACGGAAGGGAGAGACTCTGGATGGGGGATGTCCCGTGTGTGGTGAACACGGGAACAGAAACAGCAAACATGCTTAGCTTTCTTGGTCCACCACAGGCCCCAACAAAAAACTCAGAATATGCTGTTAGGATCAAATTAAAATCCAGGAGGATCTGAAATCAAGGCCGGCCTGGTCTACAGAGTGAGTTCCAGGACAGCCCGGACTACACAGAGAAACCTTGTCTCGAAAAAATCAATCAATCAATCAATCAATCAATCAATCAAGCCAGGAGTATAAGTTAGCGTTTACCTGGAAGACTGCAAATTTCATAGAATTTCTCCGCCAAACCTTTAGGGTTCTGATTGCCACCTTCTCAAAAGGGACACAGAGCAGTGTCTAGGGACAATTGCTAGGGACCTCTGACAGGGACAGGGCTGACTTCTATACTCAAGCATTTGCAAGACTTCTGCTTTAGCTGCACAGACAGCCAAAGGTATATTGAGAAGCAAGGGCCAGGTGGGGCAACCAGGCAAGGCGAGAAGTCACCACTGCACACCTGGAAAATGGGTGCACACAGCTGTCTGTAAGGAAACACAATGGCTTCTCTCCTTTGCACTGCTGTGATCAGCTCAGTGCTCCTTCAAAGAGAGTGAGAACTGCACAGAAGAACCCACCAGGACTTTACAGAAGCCGTTAGAAGTGAGAACTTACACAGCAGATGGTGTTAGAAGAAGACATACATATGACCGACTCTCAAGAGTGTTCCCACTACTCCACCTCCCGGTTTTACTCCTGGAGTCACAGGTAGCTTATATTGACTTGATCACTTAGACAGTACAGTTCTAAAAGCTGGAGTCCATCTTCACCAGCCATTCACAACAGTCCATGGAATCTAAGCAACATAGCCCGATCCAGCGAAAAGGACCCCAGAGTGTTAAACAGATAGAGCGAGACTCCAGGGATCAGCACTGTCCAGAGCTAAGCACCCAGTAGAAGAACAGCCTACAGGCAGTCATCCTTCTGGTACCCAGGTACAAAGAGCTACTCTGTTTGAATCCACAATGGATTTATCATCACATTTATATTACAAGGTCTGCTGGGGGGTGCTTTTTTATTCTAAACTATACCCCTTAGATGACAGGGCCAAGGGTGTAAAACAGTCCACTAAGCAGAAACAGTCTCTTTCAGTGACAGATGGTGAAAGGTTCAGGAAGGACACCTGATAAGGTCAGGTGTTAGCTATTTCAGACACAGCCCTCATCTATGACAGAGAGAGTTGGGTGGGGTGGGGTGGGGCTGAGAAAGGATGGACCAGGAATCTCAGAACAACCTTACAAATGCTTTCGTCAGTAGCTGTAGCACACTCTTTCTTGGGAAAAATTTGGATGTCTCTGAAAACCAATTTGAGTACAGATGGCTCTGATGTTAAGGAGGGGTGAGGGGCAAGTGAGCTCAAGAAGTAAGAAGAACAAACAAACCAACAAATAGAAAGCAAGCCAGCTGGAGCTAAAACCCACAGACACTGAAAAGAGAAAGACAGCCATTCGACAAAGGGAAGCAGTACATTCCAGATAACAGTTTCAGTTCAAAAGCTGTCAGTTGAATGTATATTTTGTAAAAGACAAAGCACTTTGAAGTGCTTGTTTAAAGGGCTTTAATATGTATTATAAAATATGATCTAGTTGCTTTTATTTTATTTGTTGATACAGGGTCTCATGTAGCCCAGCATGACTTCAAACTTGCTACATAGCCAAGGATGGCCCTGAACTTCCTATCTTCCTTGATTCCGTGTCCTATATTCTGGGATTATAGGCAAGTGCTGCCTATAATACATAGTGCCGAGGATTGAACCAAGAGCCGTCTACCAATCAAGTGAGCTCCCTCTCCAGCCCTAGAGTCACAATTATGCCATCCATTCTAGGCAATTATCACTTAAACCATCACATCCTTAATTTCCCATGGATGCTTTTATATTAACAGTGGGTTGTGAGATCTGCCTAACATATCTGTGCTGTAAAGACGCTTCTTGAAGAGGTGTTTCACATCATAGGTTATCTCAGTAGCAAAGAGGAAAGACATGTTCTCGAAGTTTCAAAGTGTGATAGCCAGAGATTCCTGATATTAGGCAGCCCCCAGAATGCTGTGGGCTGCTCTCGTCAGCCCAAGTCACCTCTCCATCTCATGATGCTGATGCTGCCCACGGTGACATCCAACTTGACCCTCACTTGGGTAACAGTAAAAACACTGCTCTCCCTGGCTGCACCAGAGACTGTGGACACTAGAGGGAGTCGTGAGCATACACTCCCTAATGCTGATCCTGCAAATTCCTTTTCCTTCATCTCAACTTGGATAAGTCACAAAAACTCCATGTTGACCCTGTTACCACGTGTTAGCAAAACACATCATCCTTCCAAATTTGACTAGCCACCCCCCCCAAAAAAAAAATCATCACCCAAATCAGCCCAGGGCCCAAGTCACTGTAAAAAAACAAAACAAAACAAAACAAAACAAAACAAAAGACCACAAACTACCCATCCTCTACTTCTTCCCTTCTGCCTTGCACAATGGAGTCCTTTAGTCTATGCTTAGTATCTCTGAGCTGGCCAATCACACATACCCAACCAGTTGCTTCTTGTCATTATTCTTGTATTCCATGTCTCTATCCCCCAAGTAGACTCTCAGTTCTGTGTCATTCTGTGCACAGCAATGATCAATAATCAATAAAAACATTGTTGAACTCACACTGAAAATGTGAGAACTTAAAAAAATTAAACTTTCTAACTTTTTCCAGGAAGTTTTCATAACAAATGTTTGGAGAGAAAAGATAAGCTATTTTTCACTCACTGACCCAGTTCAACATTCAACAGTACTATGAACTCCTCAAAACTCCTCATGGTGAAGCCTCATCCTCACTTGGAAGGTATTACAAGGTGGGCTTTTGGGAGACAGCCAGAGTTATAAGAACAGAGCCTTCATAAATATAATCGTAGTGTCTTTGGGGAAAGTCCCTAGAAAGGATAGAGTTCAGTGGTAGAGTGCTTGCCTAGCAGGAATCCTTGAGTTCAACCCCAATGTCATGAGGAGGAGGAGGAGGAGGAGAAGGAAAAGGAGGAGGGGGGGAGGATGAGGACGAAGAGGAGGAGGAGGAGGAGGAGGAGGAGGAGGAGGAGGAGGAGGGGGAGGAAAAAGAAGATGAGGAGGAGACAAGACACTCAGAAGTTCCTAGAGGTTGCCCTTTCCCTTTCTGCTGTGTGACTTCACCGAGAAGATGGCTGTCCACCAACCAGGAAGCAGGCCCTCACCAGACACCAAGCCTGCTGCTGCTCTGGTCTTTAATCTCCTGCCTCCATCACTGTGAGAATAAGCTTCCAGTCCTAATGAGCCACATAGTCTGTGGCAGTTCCTTACAGCAGCCAAAATGGACTGAAACCACAGCTCTGAGGATGTGCCTGTGAACTACTGCCATCACTTGGAACAGTACCTGGCACACCGCGTTCGCTGCTCACCAGAGTGAAGGAGGCAGTGGAAAAAAAAAAAGCAGAAAAGTGCCCATGCACGTGGAGATAGATGCACTGCAGCTTCCAAATCAGTCCAGGTCACAGCAGAGGAGATGAAACAGATCAAAATAAGAGCTGCAGCCAGTGTGGCTGGCCCAGCCCAGGGCCGATGGCTGGGCTGGCCAGGCAGCAAGCATTTCCATGGCTGGCTGTGTTCACCTCCGTTCCCACCAGGCCAGCACATAGCTGCCAAGTGTCAGGCCAGTTGATGCCAAATTTTCTCTAACTTCACTTCTCAGATAATAAATGTTACATGAAGGACTAAAGCTACCATAAAGCGTTCTGGTTTATGAGATAGAATTTGGGTGATTTAGAAATTTCATATCAAAATTGAGTAGTTTAAAACGCTGCTCTCGAATCAAGTAAAAGTGGCACCTATACCAAGAACTTCAAAAAGTATACCTGAATGATTCAGCTTTCTACATAAGGATCTTTATATTCTACCCTTCTTCAGAAGCAGCAAAATCTAGAGTCTACTAGAAACATATTTCATGGAACGATAGCCAAAGAGCTCACAGGCTCACACACAAAGCAAAGGCTTCATATCCGAAGTATGGTCAGAGTAGGGCCAGCTCAGAGGCAGAGTGTGCACAAACGGACGATCCCTGTGTTCAGGCTCCCATACAAAAGAGAAAGAAGGAAGGAAGGAATGGAAGGAATGGAAGGAACGGAAGGAACGGAAGGAAAGGACAGAAAGGAAAGAAAGGAAGGAAAGGAAGGAAGAAAGGAAGGAAAAGAAAAAACAAAGAGGAAAAACAAAAATCAAAACGCCAAAGACAAAACATGAGTTTCTACCAGTAGGCTATAAATTAAGACAAACAGTGAAAGTTGTATTTATATAATTTTAAACTGGTAATTTTATTTACTGGCTTAGGGTCCTTTCTGCCAGGAGTTAAGTGTCTGGGAATTTATAATTCAAATATAGTTACCTCCGGAATGGTGGGAATCCACAGAGAAGTATGTACGTAATCACACCAGCTGCCCAAACATCCACCTTCAGGCCATACCTGGAACAGTGAGAGAGAGCAGGCAATGGTGGGCCTGAGCATAAGCCTCACTGCTGAAGTCTTTATGAGTGCCACACAGAAGGGGGAGCTGTCCTCTGAAAAGCCATGTGCTTTCTCTCCATCCGACCACTATCAGTGACCGCCTCCCACTCCGCAGGCCAGATAAGAGCAAACTACTCCCTAAATTCACGCTCATGGTGCATGTTACATCTCTCTGCTTCCCAGTCTTCCTTCTCAGGACACACTGGACACAAAGCAACAACGACAACTATGTGCCTTTGTCACCCATGTCACCCATATCAAAGCATGGTCAGAGACAGGCAGAATCTCACCCTGTTTCAGCAATGATTTCTGGTGCCACATAAGTTGGCGTGCCACAGACTGTATACAACGGGCCTTCAACCACCGTCGCCAGCCCAAAGTCTCCCAGTTTCAAAGACTTGGTTCCATCTGGGTATTCGCACACCTGGAACAGAAAACAGCCAACAATCATCAGTCTTTGTTGCTGTTGTTGTTTTGGGTCTTTCCCCCATCCCTTAAACAGCTGTGAGAGGGACCTAGGAATTAGGCAGGAAAGACACATTGACTTTTACAATGTTTAAAGAAAGTTCTTCTGGTAAGAGAACCATTGTTGTAAAGGGCCAAGAGATCTCCTCAGAGACTTCATTCAGTTCAACTGTGTTTTCCAAAGGTAAAATTCTGCATGATCTACAATGCCCTAGCCTTAACAAGCCTCCACGAGCAGCACCGAGAGTTACTTTAACTTCATTCCTCTGGCTTATTATACTTGCAGACATACCCATGTGCTTACAATGACCACATAACTGAGAACAATTTACCTTATATCCAAGCAAGCTTTCCTTAAGAGATAAAAGCCAGGAAATAACATTACAAGTAGACAATTTTGGAAGCCAATGAGCACACAGACAGCTAACTGAGTATTGGCTGTGTGATAAACAAACATGCCAAAATAGATTCTCTTGTGTGTCCATTTAAAAGCACCAAACTTCAGAAAAAAGTAGCCGCACAGACCAAATCAATATGCAAGACTCTATTTTTATATTTTAAACACAGCTTGTTTCTCCTTGTGTTTTACTACTGAGCCGGACTTGCATTTCAACTACTACAAACTTTAGAAGGGAAATACTTAGAAAGCGATGTTTTTTCAACATAAGCAGTGACTAGCATCTGCCACTGAGGGAGGTGACTTACACAGTCACTGACAGAGAGTACAGAGATCCTGGGGCTCCCTATGACACTGATGGCCCACTACCCTTCCCTGCTTATCTGATACAGAACACTTTTTCCTTTGGGACATTACAGTATCCTCCATATTTACACACAGTATTTACACAGCTCATGCACATCTCCATGACTTTAGAGAGTCATGGAGTAGTGGTGGTGATTCTGAACCCCTCTACAGTGGGTATCACTCTGTGTGAACCCCACAACACAGCAGAGACATACGCAAATATACAAAGGATCTAGCTTGAAGCTACAGAGTGGAGATTCTTAGTCATGCCACATAAGACAGCTTTCCATCCACAGTGTTTAATGTAAACATTAATAAGAACAATCTAGAATAGATACAGTTAGGACTTACGATGCATTTACTGAAACCCAAACAGGAGAACAGAATTCTGAGCAACTGAAGTGATCAGAGCATGTATAAGCACATGAGTCAACGTCTCAGTAATGTCACTGCTATCTCATATTTACAAGTCATTAGTTACTGTTTTTATAAAACTGTGTTATTTAAACCCTCCATTTAGAGATGTGTGGGGTGCTGAGAGGCTGTTGTCGGTCTCAGAAGCTGCATTTTTACATCCCCTATAGAACACAGAGTCAGATGCAGATGTACAGACAGAAAGGGAGTGGGCAGCCTACAGTTGCCGACTGGTTGGGACTCCTTGGTTAACCATGAAAGTATGGCTTAGATAGAAGTGGGAAATAATAGTGCTTTAGCTGATCATCTCCTCCCAATATAGAAGAAAATATGCAACATATTAATAACCTTTAAATCCTAGCTGGGGATTCTGTTCAAATCTACAAGGAAAATTAAACACCACTGTGTAACTGCATGGCAAAGACACACAAGAGGCTGGCTAGGGTCTGCTTTGTGCAACTGACTGTGGAGCTGGGGTGGAGATGGGAGGTGGAGAGACTACACCCTACACAAGGTCTGGCAAATAGAAAGGGAGGAAAAATGACTAGAGACAAATGAAGAGCATCGTTCCCAAGGCTTCCTGACAGTTACTGATACCCTCAAGAACTAGTCAAATTCACATATTCTCTCAAGCACAGCACTAGACTTTGATTGGGACCACACTGGCCAACCAGAAAATAAACGCTACCTGCATTTTGCAGGCAAGGAAACTGAGGCTCATAGAACTAAGTGTAAGCTACCAAGCAGGCTTTGTAGCCAGGACCCCTCATTGTTCCACTAAACCACCCTCCAATGTGTTCTGTAGCGAAACAAAGCCAAAACCCTGGCAGCCTCAAGTGCAGATTCTGAGTGAATTTAGACAACTGTGAAAACCTCAGCCCTGCCATGTACAAATGGCCCACCTCACACTGAGAGATGCTCTGTCAAGCAGCTGGCAGAATGCAAAGCTGAGAAGTGGGAGGAACACAGGTCTCGCATCCAAAGGGAATCCCTCATGCTCTCTAAATAAAACGCCAGCGTAATGATTTAGAAGGACATCAACCATGAGAAACCCAACCTCTTCTCTCCTCTGTCCCCGAACTCCTGGAAACACTGAATTTATCACTAGTCTCCATACTTAACTATGACAGGGCAGTGCTGGGCTGTAACTCACAGCATTAATGGCCACCTTCGTGCTCCCTGACACAAACCCATACATCTGCTTTGGCAGGGTTTTAAGTTATGATACCAGGCAAGGGGATGCAAATCAGATGTCAGAATGCCCTGCTGTTTAAAAACTGCATTAGTTCCCAGACTGGAAGAGAACAAGAGTCGTGTGGGGTGTTCACTGTTAGTACCTCAGTGGTACCGTCTCTTCAGTGCAGTGCCAATCTGCTGACTAAATCTAGGGACAGACACCTACGACTGGGGCTTGCATAGCTGGCACATGTGCAGCTCAGAAATGTGTACGCTGCTAGGGTCTTTTCTGGAGGCTGATCCCACAGTCTTAGCACCATATACTCACAAAAAATGTCTACAGTCCTAGCCTCTCAAGAAGCTAAGATAATCTCTTGAACTCAATGCCAGAATTCAGAATTCAATGCCAGCCTTGAAAAGTGAGTCACGATTTCACTAATAATAAAAACAATGATGCTGCTCAGAAACAGTGCCTTACACTTTAGAACACAGCATAATGAAGTATCTTAGGATGGGCTTCAATACCCACTACAAAATTCATTTACGTCTCACATACACTTTAAACACATAGCCTGAAGATAACTGATGGCATTACGCCACAGACTGAAAAGGACTTGGGAGCTTCTGCTGGCAGCCCAGCCATGAGAAGCCCTGTTGACATAGGGCCATCTCCTCTAGGAAAATCAGCTAGCAGGCTGTGCTAGAGTTTCCTGCTGCCACAGAGCACTTCCATGGTAGCTACATCATGCCTGGGAACTTCACTAACCAGATCCGGGTAGCCTCCAGCAGTCATGTCTCCTGATGGTGTTAGAGCCAGAGCTGACCACCAGCCTCTCTAAGAAGCATCTTATGCCAGCCTTCCCACCATGGTTCAACAAATGCCCTTTCTACGGAGACATTGCCATCTGATACAACAGAGGAGCTAACTGTGTGTGGGGTCTGCTGTGCTAGATGTTCTGCATGTGTGGTTCTATCTCCCAAGAGGTAGAACTGAGGGAGGGAGAGCATGCACTTACAAGTATGTAAAAGACATAGCATATCTTCAGTTTCCATATTTACAAAGCTTAGAGGAATGGACTACCTCCAAAGTTCTGTTTGTACATGAAGTCACCTAGTCTGCTCCTCCCACCCATGGGCTTCTACTGGTCCCTATCTTATTCTCCAAAGTTATCACCTTACAATTTTGTTCTTCAGTTAGTATTGCTGCCATAAGTTTTAGATGGCCAAGGACCCCAGAATCTCTGTGTCAGAGGCTTGATGCTTAGGGTGGTGATGCTGGGGGGAGGTGGACCCGTTAGCAGGACGGGCTTCATACAGGGTACTTTACATCATTACAAACCCTCAAAGGTCCCTGAGTCTCCCTTCCTCCCTTTCTTTGCTTCCTGGATCACAAAGTGGGCAGTTGGCCCTACCTCATGCTCTTCAGAACTGCCATCAGCCATCGGAGGCCTGAACCAATGGGTGCACCTCCATTAGACCGGAACCTCCGAACTTTACCCTTTCTCTTTACACATTAATTACGGCAGGTGTCCCATTATCATAGCATGAAACTGACTAACACAATCAAATACAAATGAAAATGTACTTCTAATGTCCAGAAAACAACGTGCACACCCATTAAGAAGCCCATCAGGGTCTTATGTGTGCATGTAAAACACCCCGACAAACTTGAACTTGCTGGTTTCTCTAGAGTTCCTTTCGTGTGCTCTCTGTTCAGCACTGTGGTATTGGTTTACTCTTAATGTTATTCTGCGCTGTGATGTTTTCACAGCATTACAATCATTTAAAACAACAGAAGCATGGGTTAAAAATGAAATAGCAGAGATTTTGAACACACCAGGAGATTCTCAGGTTTGATGTCTCTGTGTACGATGCTGAGGCCGTGTAGGTATCTGAGGGCATTGGCTAGGTTATACACCATGGCGCTTCCATCTCTCTCAGTGTACTTGGTTGAAGAAGTAATCGCATCAAAGAGATCTCCACCCTACAGGATAAAGAAAGAGATGCATCGAAATGTCAACAGTTCAGTCCTCTGAGATAAGAAGGGTGTCACATCGACTTGCAGCAGACGGAGAAAGGGCCATGCATGAAACTTATGTGTCTGAATAACAAAGGTTAAGAGGCTGTGGAACATTTTTCTGATGGTTCCTCAGGAGCGCTGCGTGCTCTGAGATCTGACATCAGTGAGCCTGCCCGTCCTTACTTTGACCAGTTCCATCACTAGAAAGAGCTCAGTTGCTGTCTCCATCTCCTCAACCAGCATGATGATGTTGGGGTGCTTCACTCGGCGCAGGATTGACACCTCGTTCTCAATCAGATGCTCCTGTCAAACAAAGGGTGTAGAGAGGGACATGAAAACCACAGAACCTTCTGCTCTGCCCAAAGCCTGGAGGACAGTACATCACAGTCTATTTCTGATGCCGAGGGAGACATGTCTCTTGGCATAGGACGACCACACTTGCCTTCTTAGCTCCCCAGGGATAGGACAGGCCACTAGTGAACATGTCTTTGCCAAGACCTTACAGAAAGTGGCTTCTGAGCATGCCCAGAACTGATATACAGTGTATGACTCCACTCTAGCCAATGACAGTAAAGACAGTGTCCACACAGCACTGTGCCTTCTGTAAGGCAGGAAGGCCAGAGCCACTTTCTAACTTCAGTACTTCATGAAAACCAGCAACTGGGCATGTAAGAAAATCTGACACTCAAGCTCTAAGATTAAAACGCTTGACTGTTACCGATATAAATTTTAATTTTATGCTAACACGCATGAAAAGTAAGCTTTCTCCTTTTATGGGTGAGGATGAAGTCATTCTCCAGATGGGAGCTCCTTACACTCTGTACTTCAGAAATCTGGATGGCACCAAACCACACAGCTCGCTTTCACTGTAACCACAGCACCTCTCCCCTGGTGAGAGCACACTACCTCAGTGTTGCCCTGCTGAGCAATGTGAGTGAGGACTGCTCGGTAATAAAATGGTCACTCACAGAATTAGGAAATTATCCACGAGTTATACGCAGTAACCTTTCTGTTCCAAAGGCTGCACGTGTACACCCTCACTAACGTCAACGGCAGATCTATTTGAATTTAGAAAGTACAGTATAAAATTTGCTAGCTGACCTCTTCGACATTCTAAATGCTGAAATAAGATGCTTTTATATAGATGTATCATTTACTGCCTAAGGATGTGTGTATACTGCACATCTATGGTGTGTATGTAGGGTGTGTGTGTGTGTGTGTGCACCCATGTGTGTATGTATGTGGTGTGTGTGCGTGCATGTGTGATGTTTAATTTCCTCTTGGCCTATACTACCATGACTTTCAGAGCAGAACATGGTATTCTGACACAGCATTTGATCCCTAGTTTTCCCATATCTTCTGTATCTTTGGTGCATACACATACTCACATTTTTACTCTAATTTCAAATACCCCTGACAATAGCTTGAAGAATAAATTATGACAAATGAACAAATAACACACAGAATAAAATCTACAAGCTCCTGCACATGGTGGGTTGAAATTCTTGAGCACTGAACGTTCTATGCCTATTAAAGTCATCATGGGATAAACACCGGCAAAGGACAAGAAATGCTAAATCGGAAAGTCTACTAGAAAATGACTCCTGACTGCTAGCCACAGAGTACGGCTTTGTGTAACGCTGTGACTTAGTTTTATTTCAGTCCTTGGAGGTGGGAGTGTAAGTCCAGTGTTCACGCCTCTAAGTCCACATCTCTTGTACTGGACATCACAGCTTGTGAAAGGGGAATGGCTGAGTGACACTCAAGCTAGAATTTTTAAAAATGAAGATGACAGCTGTAAAAATGACAATATTATTTTGATGAAAAGACAGGAACAAGCAAACTGGACATGAAGAGCTGCATGGGCTTTATGTCAGGAGAATCTGTGCCCTGTCAGAAAAGGGGACTTAGGCTTCTTGAATGCTGCAGGACTCAACAGGTCCAAGTCTTTCAAAGCCTAACTAGCCATGGCTGGGAAGTCAGGGACAATGGCCCCTGCTGAGCATGAGCACAAAGCAGCAGCCAACACCCTGGGACCCCAATCCAGGGAAGCGACTGTACAGCCAGCCACTACAGCCACACAGAAGACACGGTAAACCCTCCACACTTATTCACACCAAGTGAATCAGATGTAAAAGCAGTGACGAGAATTTGTCTCACTCTATTGGAAGCAAACACAAGAGCGGTCAGCTCATTCTAAAACTAAATAGGTCATGGTTTCCATCTTAAACCCCATATTCTGCCTGCTCATTATCCCCAATGTTAAGAGATTTTAAACTTATTTTCAGGGAAGTTTTGGATGCAAATTTATAAACGTGAAGCAGTCTGTGTCAGCAGTGTAAAGAAAGTTCTTTGTATGGAGTTAAAACATGCTGTCTATCACATCCAGAGACCCTTCAACAAAAGGCACTCAAAACGTCTGTGGACCCACTGTGGGACCCCTCTCGGCAGTGTTAGAAAGCTACCAGCAGTGTCAAGTTCAAACACCAAGTAAGTACTGGGACAACAGCCTCCACATAAGCTACATGTGAATGCACTGCTCTGCTCTTGACAACACTCATAGCTAAGTTCAGAGTAAAGGTTCCTGCTGGGACACAGAAGCTGCTCCTCTCTGCTCCCCACTGCTTTCTATGCCTGACTATAAAGGAACAATCCTTTTAAAACAGTGGCTCTCAACCTGTGGGACACAACCCCCTTGGGGATTGCCTAAGGCCACTGGAAAACACAGATATTTATATTATAATTCATAAAGGTAAGAAATTACAATTATCATGTAGCAATAAAAATATTTTATGGATGGGGGCCACCAAACACAAGAACTGTGTTAAAGCGTTGCAGCATTAGGAAGGTTTGAGAAACACCGTTTTCAAACTAATTATCCTGAAAAACCAAACATAAGCACTAATATAAAGCTTCACAACTGTTTTCCCCAAGTCTTGTGCAACCCACAGTAGCTTTTACTATACCGTGTAAAAATATTCTACAGAATATATACAGAATACAGAATTATCAAACTCTCTCTGTACAGAATGTAAGTAGATTTGAGCCTGGCTGACGTGACTCTACCTTCCCATAAAGAGCCTCCCTGCTCCATCAAGGCTGAGCTGGGGGACTCTCTCCTAGGCTGCCAACACCTACATGTAGAAAAATCATAGCTCCTACTGTCGTCTGTTGGTGGGCTGGTCTGGAGTACCTAAGTCCTAGAGGCATCTGCCTCACTTCCTAGCAAACAGCACAGTTACAAATGTGTGAGCACGTGTGTGCATGCACGCACATATACACACATATACACACTGGTACCCATACACACATGCATGCACATATACAACACACCCTGTGCATTGTCTGCCGGTGGCTTCCCAGCTGGCAGCTAGACTGTTGAGGATGAGATAGCAAGCAGGACAGTGTGTTCAAATCACTCTATGTGGTTTCTGACGGAAGCACATGCAGTTGAATTAATTCATAGTCACCCAAATGCATCAAGTCCTGATCCTCCAGACTTTGTAAATATTACCTTATTAGGAAAGGGGGACTGAGCAATACAGAGACAGTAACAGGCTAACACAAATGAATCACAGCAGCCTTCTAGAGAGGCAGGAGAATTCACAGGGATGCAAGAGCAGCAATAAAAGCCCAGAAGAGAAAATGTGAAGAGGGGGAGAGACTGCAATGATATGGCTGTAACCTAAGGCTGCCAATCACCTGGAAGTGTGCTGAGAGCCAGAAGCACCTTCTCCCCAGGACCCCCAGAACAAGTGTAGATTTCTGACTTCCAACAACCAGAACTGGGATAATTTCTGTTGATTTAAACTATGTGGCAAGTTACTCCAACAGCTCAAAACTAGCGTAATAGGCTTCTGCATTCGAGTCTTGTCTGGGCCCATAACATACGGAAAATGAATACAAAACTTATAGGGTGAAGAGAAAAGGACACTTGGGGTTTCTTTACTGTGGAGAGTCAGTCACTACTCAATTAGAATGAGCAGTCTTAGAACAGAAGGAATCCTAACCCAATACCACAGCCTCCTCAACAACCTCTGTTAATGTAGCCACAAGGCAGAGCAAAGTCTGTTCTGGCCACTGACAGGTTTTCCTACCAAAATCCTGCCATGGTTCAAGGACCAACTCAAATGTTTCTTCTGTATACAGGAGAGAGA